GCAGAGTTCAAGAAGCGCTTGGACAATGCTGTCAGGCACATGGTGTAATTCTTGGGATTGTTCTGTGCAGGGTTAGGAGCTGGATTTTCATGATCCTTGCGGGGACCCTTCCAACTCATGATATTCTATGATCTTCTGTAGTACTCTAACAAGCAGAAGTTTTCCCCTCCCCAATCCAGACTGTTTTTCAAGTATTAAACTCGCTAAATCCACATGTAGAAATAGTACTTCAATTTATCCAAGCTACGAGAGACACCGAAATATTTCCACCAAACAAATTATCAGAGATATTCTCAGGGATTAGACAATTTCAAAAAGAAAACTTCAACTCAGAATTTGAATCCTATCCAATTGTTGGACAACTGGGAAGCAAAGCAGCATCCAAGAAATTCAGTGAAACTTGTCAGGATGAAATGATCTCAAAACCTCTAATTCTTTTCCAGTATGCAAAGTGTTTTCCAGCTCTCTGTCCAGAACATAGGCATCACTGCCTTGGAACAACATACACGGAGTGGCTTGGCTGCCTCAGCCTTTGCAGTATACCATAAACTCAAGGATGCTCATACTGAGGGCAAGATAATCAAATTAAGCTCCTCAGTACAGCGATTTGGAAAGGAACATTACAAGTGATGCTGCTCAACACAAAAAATGAATGAGCAACTCTGTTTCCAACTAATCCAAGATGAATGCTGCTGTTAGTTGTGCTGTTACCTGCTCTCCAATAGCATTACCATGCTCATCATTTCTATAGACAACAACCAGTATGTGACCTCCTGCCGCACTGAAGGTGACCAAAGCCATATAAAGAACAGGAGCAGGGTGAAGCAGGCTACAGCTTCATTCAGTGAGAATTATCCCAGAACCATCACCTACCAATTAAAACCACGGGCGTGCTGGGAAGAACAATACCAAAAAGATCTGACACATGGCTTCCAAACTGACTGGTGCCCCCCTGCAGCTACCAGACTCATTGATGTCTGTGAATTCTGGTTTATTGGCTTGACACATAGCATTAACTTCAGCTAATAAACAAATCCAGTTCCAGCACATGAGCACTTTCTTTTGTTTTGGTAAGGAAACCACTGAATCTTCAATTACAAACCAGCTGCACCTATAAACAGATTGATCACTTGTTTTATTGCTGTTTGACCACCATCCTCACACACTAGATCTTTATGGCATCATTAGGGAAGGAAGTGGATGGGAAACTACTTCATGGCCACTCACTGGGACTGTCCCCTTGCTTCCACTGATAAAGCTAAAGGCAGGGAACCCTCTATGCCCTATCTGTACATGATTGAGTAAGGGCAAGAGCATGCTTCCAGGTCTGCCTGTGGGTTCTGAACATCCAACCTTGACTGAAGCCTGAGTTACATTGCTTTTCTTCAGCAAGACACAGCACTAAAAATGGATGGGAACCAGGTGTACAGCTTCAGATAACAGTAAAAGTCTCTTTGCCTTTCAAGGAAGAGTAGGAAGGAAGGAATCAAAAGCAAAGAACAATCTGGCAACCTTAGAAATATAGCCCTTTACAAAGATCCAATTGTACAGTGCTTTCCTAAGGTAACAAACTACAAGTCCAGCTGCTTAAATACTGAACCCACAGTGCTAATAAAGAAAGTGAAAATAGCATTTACATTAGACTGTAACAACACTGCAAATTTGTTGGAGAGTAAACAGGAGCACATATATAACAGACTTACTGGAATATGTGGCAAAGTGATGGTAACATCATCTCCTTTACCCACTTGGAGGTCCCCCTCACAAGACGTATCAATCGATGCTGGCTTAAAATCATCTAAAGAGGAAAACAACTGTGATTACATTTGTTAGAGTCTTCAGAAGCATCAGTGTGCCCTGCAAAGAGCCACCATACATTTACTGTGATTATAGGGAATGGTAAAACACATACTAGTGTTTACAGCAGGGGTGGAGTAACACACCAGTACAGTGTGTCTACAAGTAGCAACCCAGTCATGTGGTGGTACCATATCCTGAACTTCCTTTTTAAAATGGAAATAAGGTTCTAGATCTTGTGTTTGAACACCAAAAGCAGACTTCTCCAAACCCGAGCCTTTGAGTGGCACTTGGTTTTACAGGCAAGTGTAAAACTGTACCAATCAAACTCAAGAGAGTAACAACTTCCAAAACCCTAGGCTCTGCTTAGCTCTTGCCAATTGCAAACCTGAGGACTCCTCTGTGACAAACACCAATTTAATGACACCCACTTAATTTAGCCTTACTGATATTTCAGGCTCTTTAATGGCCATCTCGCCTCCACAATAGTGCTAAAAGCTCCACATGGGTGGAGGAGATCTCAGCTGTCACTTATGAGGAAAGAGTGAGGTGCTGATCTTACTACAGCAGCTTCATGCTGGTCCAAAGCCACTGTGGACAGAAAGCATCAGTAAGAGGAAGCACTGTACTGGCTTTAAACTAACACTCATTTTAGGTATTTTCGCTCTGTTTTACAATGCTTTGTCTCCAAAACCAAGGCACTTCTGTTTAATGCATTCATTTGAACTGAGAACATTTTATATTAAAAGTATTTCCCCCTCATTATTCTGTTGAGCTGGTAAGCCACAAAATAACAGAAAAAAAAAAAAAAAACCCTATCAGAACCTCTAATGTCTTGAGAGATTATTTAGACAAATTGAAATAAAATCACACAGATATAGGCTAGTTTGCCTTGTGTTTGTTTTCATAAGAAGCCTGCATTCAAACTCTAGCATCCCTGCATCTGAAGAGGTGCAATTATATTCACGATCAAGGTTTTTAATTACCGCATTAGTTATGAAACTAATACCTCAGAACAAATTTAAAATATAATTCCACTATGAAAAACACATTTGCAGGAAAAAAACCTCCAAACCCTGGCTTGTAATAAATTCTCATTAAGAGGATGTTAATGTTTAATTGAGTTTTACTTTGACAGCACAACAAGCAGAATCAGACACACTTGACTTAATCCTCATGCCTTAACTGCCAGATCAAATCATAGCCTTCAATTTCATCTGGGCAATCTGTTTCTAGCTATTGTTTCCCACCTACTTTATGTGCAAGCTTGCTAAATAAACCAGCTGTACAAGAGCTAGTGTCTTTGCCAAAACGGGATCAAGAGCTTCAACAGCACCATCATCAACTTAAAAGGAATATCACTACCAGACTTCTTTCTTAGGCACAGCAATATAGAGTTACTTTAAACAAACATTCAACTAATTGTTTTCATTTTGTTAGCACGTGCCTGGCTAATCCTCATGTAGATTGAGAGCACATATTTCCCTCCAAATATACCCACAGCTCTTTTCCCAAAAATCAAATGTTTTCAAGATGTGTTTTTCAAGGATAATCCAGTTTCTCAGTGCAGGAATGAAGTATCTTAAGGAGGTTGAAACAAATGTAGCCTACAAAATCCTCTGACTGTAGTTTGTGTGAAGAGGATTATGGCAATAATATAATGTTTGGATCCCAGATAAATCATTCCAAAACAACAGTTAGGGGAAAAATACAGCAAGACAATGAAGAAATCTCATTTAAAAGTCACAGATGGAAAATAGAGCATTCAGAAAGATCTTCTTAAATAAAACTGCATTCTTCCAGTTGTAGTCTGTAGACTTTTGGCTTTGCAATCCCTTAGGAAATTGGTTATTGAAGCACTTTCCATTCCAGAAATCCAGTATATTTCCACTTGGATATAGTTTGGGTTTAATTCACACAGGATGAGGCACTTGGGTGACCAGAATCACTGAAACTACTATTTGTGGTGCATGAATATGGGCAGAGAGACCAGGCCTATATTTGTGCATCATAAACCAAAATATCATACTGTTTTTTGTATAAATTCCTCACTTTCATAGAAAACTACTAAGTTATAAGTTTTGTATTCTTTACATTTACTCCTGATGGTTTACCAGTCATTTTAGTAATAAAAACTAGACTCGCTTTTCTCAGATTTCTTGCCCTACAGAATTCAAGCACGGTAATACAGTGAGTTCCTCTTCAAAACAATCTACCTCAGGATTTATCTTGCATTTATTAGGCATTACTGTAAGTGTCCAAGTCCCTTCCACTTGCTTTCCTGGGACAGTGATTTATTACAGCTGGCTGGAGTCGGGACAGCCAGGAGCAGCTCTGCTGGGCTACACATTGCTCCATCAGGAAAACACCCAGTTAAGAGCCCAACTCTGGATGCTCCGGCTGCCTCCCCAGGCCGGGCCTGCGGTGGGACTGTCCTGCAGTTAATTGCCACAAAGAGAGCAAGATAAGATGGCAAAGCCACCTCCTTACGGGGGCAACTCTTCATGCTTCCAAGCGATTAATTAATTCCAAGCAAACTTTCTAAAGCTGTTCTTTCGCCTTGGCGTGCCTCGCTCAAGCCCCCTCCCCGCCAACATCCACCTTCCCTTTCTTCCCGGGCTGGACTCCTCTGTGGGGAAAACACTCGTGGAGAGGAAAGACGGGCGCGGAGGGAGCGGGAAAGGGGGTGGCGGGTGCTGGAGGGGCAGCAGGGAATGGCTGGGGGAGCAGGGCGCTGAAGGGGACAGGAGGGAAGGGGGAGACGGGCGATGAGGGGGAAGCAGGAATGCGGGTAGGAGAGGCGCTGAGTGGGGACGGAGCCCCGCGATGGCGGAGCGAAGGAGGCGAGGGGAGCAGAGGGCTTTGCGCGGCAGAAGGAGCAGCGCAGCCGGGGGACGGGACGGGACGGGACGGGACGGGACGGGACGGGACGGACGCGAGCGGGGAGGAAGAGGCGGCCGCGGGGGAGGCGCTCACAGCGGATGGTGTGGAAGGAGGCCTTGGGCCGCCGCTCGAAGCTCTCGCCCAGCTGCAGCGGGTGCTCCTCCTTGTCCAGCAACGAGTTCGCCGAGCCGTTCATGGCTCCGCTCCCGGCCCGGCCGGTCCCTTCCCTGTCCTCCGTGCGCTGCCGCCCGGCGTCCTCCCGGAAATTCTTGGCTTTCCCTTCCGGGAACCCTCTCCGGGGCTGGCGGCGGGTACGGCGGGGCGAGGCGGGGGCCCGGGGCCGGGCTGGGGCTGCTGCCCCGGGGAGGGTCTCCGGGGAGGTGGGAGAGCGGCGCTCCCCGCCCTCGGTAGGGCAGGGCAGGGCAGGAGGGGCTTTCCTCTCCTTCCCTGCCGGGGTATCCAAGCCCCGGCTAGGCTGGGGCAGGAGCTGCTGGAGGGAAGCCGGTTCCGCGTGGGGGGACCGGAGGATCACACAGAGGTGTTACATGTTTGTGGGCTTAGCTCTGGATTAAACACCTTTAAAAGGCTTTTTAGCCTAAGCATGGGCTGTTGTGACTGAGTTTATCATCGCGCTGCCTCCCCGCCGCGGCAGATGCGTCACTGAAAGGACTGGCTTGCGTTTGTTCGCTTCCCTCGCGCCTTCTGTGATGAAATAATGGAGCGCGCCTAGACTATAGGCGTCTGTAGAAATACGGCAGAAATTTTGCTGATTAAGTTTTTGTTTGTTTTGAGGATATGCTCTTCTTGAAGAGACGTCCTTTCGAAGGAGCCTCTTCTTCATAACCTCCTGCGCTGTTCTTGGAGGAAAAGGGGGTGTGCCGTGACACCGGACAAAATTCTGACAGTTCTTTACTTCATTTGCACGCTTCCGTATTTTATGTTTGTGTTTGCATCATGACGTGAATATATCATGATAGCATCATATATAACATGTACATGTGATCCTTGATGTGTGTCATAGAATGTGTTTTATCGTAAGGTAAGATACATAAGTGAAGTACTGCTCTTGTTTGTTTGTTTTAGGGTGTGTGTTGTTGTGGTTTTCTCATTTCCTTTTTGGTAAATTGACACCAATGCCTGTCTCTGGGCACTGATGTACACGAGCGGTGTGTGTTTGCTGCCTGGGCTTCCCTGCGAGCTACTGGGCCGTGCAGGATTTAATCCCCACGTTCCATCATCCAGCATCTGCATGTTTATGACAAGGCAGATGTCAGAACCAGTTTAACATCAGAGAAAATGTTTGACTCCTTTTCCAGCCTATGTGAAGCTCTTTTTGTTAATGTCTGAAAATAAAACCACCTGTGATTGTTAAAACCAGTGTGAATCCTCAGGAGGAGGCAGTGGGATGAATGTTGGCACAGGCCAGCTCTGGGCATTTTGGCCACAGTACTGGTTTTGTTCTCTTCTTTAGGTGGTGCGGTGTTATAAATGCTGTTGTTTTCACCGGTGTTTTCTCAGAGAGCTGAGAGCAGGAAGGAGAAATGCTAATATGAATACATATTACTTTGTTTCATTAATTTGAATGTGATTGTTAAGTGTCATCTGTTCTTAAGTTACCTTTATTTCTGAAGTGTTCTGAGTGAGGTTAATGTGCAACAAAGCCTTTGCTTTCCCTCTTGTCTCTTTTAGTGAAAATAAAGTTAGAGCTGCATCGTCTTTTTCTTTTTGGGTAGCTTTCTAGAATGCAGAGGGAGAACCAGGAGACTCTGAAGTATCTTCTTGAACTTTGACATCAGTGTGATGGTGTATACAGCTCTTAGTTTAGATGAAGGTTTTCTGAAATTAAGAGAATTCTGGTGACATGTAAGTCCATCAGCTTGGACAGATCACTAAAGTTGTAGTAAGTGCATACTGTAATTATTTCTCATTTTTAATTTTGCTTCTAGAGCCTCGCTTATTTTACCTAAGTTAAGTGATGGAACCATACACTAAAGAAAAAAAATCATCCTTGGGTCTTTGGTGTTCGTGTTTGTGTAAAAGAATCTAGGATGTTCCAAGAAAAGGCGTCAGCAAATTGCTTAAATATAGTAACAACATCTACTGAAGATGGTGCTTTCCAAAAAAAAGGCCATAGTGCTCGAGTCCTTAGCCCAGAAGAAGTGGAAAAACTGGCAAAAGATTGGGTTTTGGTGTCTGAGTTCAAACAACTAAAACTGGAGAAAGAGGCACAGAAGAACTGGGATCTATTTTACAAAAGAAACAGCACCAATTTCTTCAAAGACAGACATTGGACAACCAGAGAGTTTCAAGAGTTAAAGGCATGTCGTGAGGTGAGGTCCGTGCAATTCTGCTGGAAAAGATGGGATTGATTGTTTCCAATCAGCTGTTTCCAGGACTTAGAGCAAAGCCATTTGGGTGAGAGTTGACACATGTAGAGTTTGCAGTGTCCTGTGTATTTTCTTTTAGTAGCAAAGATAACTTCTCAGAATCATATGCATCAGTTTAGTTTCAGTTTATAATTGGCCCTTACTGCATGGGGATGCTGTTCATAGCATCCTGGATGCTGAGAATGCAGTCTGGAATATTTGATTTTTGAGTCCTAAAGGAGACAGCTTGCCTCTCTGTGTGCAAGCTGGTGCACTTCAGTACACGGCTTTAGAGAAAAGCATCCAGAATTGCAGGCTGATTGCTGAACACAGTTAAGGGGAATAGCCAGATGCATCTGTTGTTCCTTACAGCTGAATGAAAGACAAGACAGAAATGGCACAAGTCTGTTGATTGCTTAAGGGGCAGATAACTGAAGAAATATTAATATATGTTCTAAAATTATTTCTAATTTTGCGGAAATTCGGGATGTCTGGGTTTTAGTGTCAGATTATGCAGCGGCTGTCTACTTTGGGTTTTTTTGAAGAACTGTCATTAAAATTGATTATAGCTTTTAAAATGCTGGTTGAACAGTGCCTCTGCTCATATGATGAGAAAACAAAAATTACATTTTGTCTTGTATTGCTTCCTCCCCAGTTTGCAGATCAAAAACTGACCATTCTGGAAGCAGGCTGTGGGGTTGGGAACTGCTTGTTTCCACTCTTAGAAGAAGATAAGAATATTTTTGCATATGCCTGTGATTTCTCTCCTAGAGCTGTTGAGTATGTGAAGGTTGGTGTGATATTTGGAACTTCTTTTAGAGTGTTTTTTAGAAGCTTCTAAAATTACAAATGACTGTAACAACAGACTTCTCATGGCTTCCTTTTTGTAGGAAGGGTAGAATATACATAGCCAAAAAAATTGAGACTGATGCTTTTCAATGGAGATCCTATGTAAGAAGCCAAATCGTTGCTCAAGACTTGGCTTTTCAGTGTCAAATTAGAGCATTATGGTATATTACTTGCATGATTTATGAAGATAATGCTGTTTTGGGAGCACTACTATGTCTCTGCTGACTGTGCAATAAAAGCAAAATTTGTTTGGCATGGAAGCTTGCCCTTAATAGAGGGAGTCCCAAGGAGAACCTTAAAAACAAGGCTGGGAAAATTATTGTTAAAGGAATTTGTAACCTGATTAGGAGTAGTTATGTTTACGCCAAGTCGTGGGTACTGCAATCCAAAGTCGAGCCTTGCAGTAGTTCTGGTGGGGGCTTTGGGCATTAAAACTCTTTATGAAGTAATCACAGGTAAATTTCTGTATATCTGTTAACTGAAAGCATTGTGACCAAGAACCACAAGACACAGACAGGATTTGTCATGCGAAAGATGGGAAGTGCCTGTGGCACACAGAAGAGGACAGCAGCTCCCTCGGATGCTGTGGCTGCGCCCCAAGATGAGGTTGGGCTGAGCCTGTACCCTGGGTTTTGGGTGACTTAATGGCATCTGCCTCCACAGCTCTTGCTAAATTTAATTTTTGCCGAGACTGGGGTTTTTTTTCCACCGTAAAACTGTGAGCTACAGCAGCCCAGCTGCAGATTATGTGACAGGAATCCCAACTGTTTGCAGTCTTCCTGTAGCTCAAGAGCTTTACTTTCATCACCCTCTAATACGTAGGTTTTTTTCAATAGAGTTTGTGTATTCTTTAAAGAGTAGAAGCAGGGGTAAAACCGAAATATTTCTGACAATTAAGACAATTTTTGAATTGTCTTAATGCACATTCCTTCTCAAATTCTTGAGAACAGGCTATTGTACTAGTTGTTTCACTATTGTAGTTAGCAGCAAAGAATTTCTGATAGCAGTAGCCACCTGTTGGAGGTTAATATTCTCTTGCCACTGTGTTTTGTATCTCTCTACTGATTAATTTCACAAGATTTTTACTTTATTGTAGCAACAAATGCTGCTAATTTTCAGTGAAAGCTTGCTCTTTTAATTTCCCTAGAAAAATGCCTTATATAGTACGGAAAGATGTAAAGTGTTCCAGTGTGATCTTACCAAAGATGATCTTCTAGACAATATACCAGCAGATTCCGTGGATGTTGTCACACTTATATTTGTGCTTTCTGCCATTCATCCTGACAAAATGCATCTTGTCCTGAGGAACATTTACAAGGTAAAACCAGCTGAGATTACAGCCTTTAAAGCACTTCTTTTTAGCTCAAAAGTATTTTTTTTTCTGAGAAAATTACTCTCTTGCAATGGTGATTTTTCATATTATATTCCATGCATGTATTTCATTAGTTCACTGAGTATGCAGGACTAAAATATCTTTTACAATGTCCTTTATTTTTCTCCTGGTATTGTGAGATTGTTTGGATTGAGGCCTAATTCATGCCATCAGTATAACAAAAAGATATATAAAATATGGCCTTCAGATACCTGAAAGGGGCCTACAGGAAAGCCAAAATTAACTTCCAGAGATCCAGTGACCTGCTGTTAGGATGTTGCTGTTATTATGAAACATATTTGATCTGTGGTGATTTAAAAGTGGAGTGTTCAGAAGTCAACATTAATCTAGACTCACCCCCCTATGCTGTCTTTGTTAGTTGATAGACTAAGACAGGCCCATCCAAAGGGTGGTTTAAACAACCTGAATTGTTATTGTTCTGAATTTTCCCAAAATGCCGTATATTGACTGCAGAGGAAAACAATCAACATACCTTTTTACTTTTGCATATGTGTGTGTTAAGAGTCTTGTATTTTCTGATGTTATTTGGGTTATTATCAGCAGTTTGAAAAAGGAATATTAGTGGTTTTTTTTTTTTTTTTTTATATCGCCAGCTGTTTTCCAAAATCAGGATTGGTTCTTAGGTTATATAAATATTTAGATATCTAAAATCAGCATGGGCAATGACCATGTATTTATAAATTTTAAACTCTTTATAGCTTGCTTTCTTTACCAAAAAGCAATTTTATAAATCCATTATGCAGTTTCCTAAAATGGTTTCTTATTTATTTTGCGAGATATTGCAGCATTTTTCTTTCTCCCATGAAAAAAGAAATGTCATGATATTCTAAATTTCATTGTTAACCATTAAACAAAATCAAGTGCTAAACAGGATACTAGCCAACAGAAAAAAATGCCCTGATGGGAATTTTTGTTAAACTGTGTATTTTCTTATTTTCTCTGTGTTTGAAGAGTGTTGCTAATTTAGCTGATCAGCACCCAAATAGGTATTCTAAAACTAGTTGTAGTCTTTTATTAATGGGGAAACATTTTTGAGAGTCAATCCAGTTTTTGCACAACCTTTTTGTTGCATAGGGAATGAATTGTGTCTACATCTATCTACATCCATCTGTCTATTTATCTATAGATATCTATCTCACTGTTGTATTGTATTCTTGTAATCTTTTATTGACTATGCTAGTCTACCTTGCCTTAGTTACCTTTGTCTGTATGTGTACACAAATAAATATTCCTATATATGACTAAATCTGTTTAGCTTATTAAAGCATGTGTGTATTATGTGACAGGTATTAAAACCAGGCAAGTGTGTCCTGTTCCGAGACTATGGCCTGTATGATCATGCAATGCTCAGGTTTAAATCAGGCAGCAAACTTGGGGAAAACTTTTATGTCAGACAAGATGGGACAAGATCGTATTTTTTTACTGCGGGTAAGATATGTTGTACAGTGCTTTCTTTTCTGTGAATTTTCTGTTCAGACTTTCTCCAGGGAGCTGTCAATATGCCTATGGAAGTTTTATTCTGTGTGGATGAAGTGTTAAATTGTGGTTTATTTCATTTACCATCCTTTTGGGGAAGAAGCAGTTATTTAGACTGGCAGAACTTTGTGGAGCGCTTTCTTGTTTATAAGCTTGTTGCGTGTGCTATAATTCTCCAAGAGCAGGGGTTTCTGAATTTGCTGAATTTCATTCAGATTTGTTACCTAAGGGGAAAAGACCTGTGTTCAGTAAAAGAATTAATCACCTTCATGAAGCAAGTAAGCAGTTCTTTTGGCATCATTCTTTGTGCAGTTGAGCAGGATGAGGTCTGTTGACTTCTAAAAGCAGAACCACGACTGCAGCGCTGAGAAGCTCACGCACAAATCCTGGGATAGCACTGACTAGCTGTGGTCACCCTGGCTTCTAGGGTTTGTTCTTTAGTGAAGACAATGCAAAAAACCATTTCTGTGTCATACAGTATTTAGTTTTTGTTCAGTGCTCATAATGGTTTAGGAGGAAGAGTAGTTATTGCAGTTTACTGGTGGAGAATTTGAAGCACAGAGACATGAAGGAATTTGCTTAGACTCTCACAATGAATTGGGTTTATAGCTTGGCTATAGCTTCTAACTCCCAATTCCTCATGCTAAACTCACTACTGCCCCTATCACTTGTAGAGCATTGTGTAACAAGAGCTGTGAATTTATTTCTGTGGGGTTCTTTGTTCTTAGTCTAAAGCAAGATACAGCTGCTGAAGAGACTGATTTGGGGCCAAGTAAATGTTATTCATATTTTATGCCATAACATATTAACTAATTGCTTCTGATACATAAAAAGCATTAATTTTGTGTGAGCTCCCCCTATTCTTCATAGGACAATGATGAAATCTAAGATAATGCAGGCTGTGCTACAGCTTCATTGAAGCATTTCTAGAACTGTTATTTATTGAGTGATTTTTAGTTCTGTTTAAACAATTAGCTCTTAGAAAGAGAATGATGCTAAAAGGAACAAATAAGAGACTGACCTCTCTGTGGAATCTTAAATCTCATTTTTATTGTGTTTTAGAATAGTTTCTGAATGAGAAGTTCCTTGTTAGTATGCATGTTTCCCTTGCAAGAAGAATTGAGGTAGGGATGAGGAAGAGGAAGGAAGGAGAAAAGAGAGAATTTATTTTATATTGCTCATGTCAGCAATTGTTTTTCCTTGGGCTGGTCTGTGACTGTCTCACAAATCACCTCTACTCCCATTTTTAATCATTATGATCTCATTCATTTCACAGATTTTCATATAAACATTGCTTAATGCTTGAGAATTCTTTTGTTACTGGAGACATGATTCCCATCATTTCCACAGGGGTTGCAACCCTTGCTATTTTTCATTTCTTTAGCACTACATTGGTACACCAAGTTATTGCTGCATGGGGTGATTTGAATCATACTTATTTATAATATGTCTGGTCTCAGATGGCAACACACAACTTCTTCCATGGGAGAAAAATCCATTCTTCTTCTGTTTGAAATAATATTAAATTTGTGGAGGAATGCATGGTTTTAGTTTTGTATTATGAAATATGTGCAACTTCCTTACAATAAGATTTTAATAGGTCCACAATGGAGTGCTGTTTATTTATATTTCATTGGTGTGGGTCCCCATTTACATGAACACACAATGTTTACAGCCATGGTGGGCTAGGGTTGATATAATCCTGCAGTGCCACCAGAGTGGGTGGTCTCATCTTCCTCCACACACCATCTCTGGTTGTGCTTCCTGTACCCACATGATCACTGTTTCATCGAGCCAATCCCCCTGAGCAGTGAAAAATTGAATGTCTTTGTTTTCTGTCAAGTAACACAAGTTTAGAACAGCCTTAAATTTACTGTGAAATTGCTGCCTGAGTAAGTGAACTGAGGTGCAGGAAAGGAAAAATTATTATTTTTAATTAACATGACAAGTCAATAGCATGAGCAGACCTTCCTGCTGCACAAGTCACCCTGTTTGTGAGGTGCTTCTGCCTTCCTTAAGGGAAATAGGCTCTGAGGAAAATTTTTTTTGTTTATGGAAAATATTTTCAGTTCATCTTAGTGGAGTCTTGGTACCACCATATCCTCTTTGCCATTTTGTCAGTTTTTCTGTTGAGCAATTGCATGTAACATAGGGTGTTATTCTTCCTGAATGTAGGTGCATCTGCACAGCTGGATTGCCTTTTAAATATTTGTGGTAAATGATCTATTCAGATAGTGAAGGTCAGCTGTACAAAGAGAAAATGCACTGGTGTCAGTCACAATGAGAATGACAAGGCTTCATAAAAATAAGAGATGTGGCATTTTTGGAAATTCAACTGAGTAACTAGCTTAAGCCCCAGATTTACAAGCTGTTTTGCTTAGGTTGATGTTTCCAAAGGAGATTTTTATTGATTTTTATACAGCAGTCTGCCCACATAGAACAGCTTGAAATCTGAAGGCCTGTGTGATTTTCATGCTGTAACACATAAGAACATATGCTTATATAAATGCTGTCTGGTGTTTTAAAAATAGCTTAAACATAATATTTTATCTTTTTTTTTTTTTTTTAATTCTCTTTCAGAGTTCTTATCTCAGCTTTTCAGGGCTGAGGGATATGAGCAAGTGGTCAATGAATATGTGCAGCGAGAAACTGTGAATAGGAAAGAAGACTTGCGTGTTCCAAGAGTTTTTCTTCAAAGCAAATTTCAAAAACCTTTCAGTGAGACATAAGTTCCTGCTGATCAGCAACAGCATTGCTTGCTTGAAATGGAAGCTAGCACATAAGCTGTGTGTTCATCTTTCTGGTGAACCAAAAATGTTGGCATCCAGTATCTCTTGTTGGTTTCCATCCTAGAATACAAAATATGAATCCTATTTCTAATTCAATTTTAAGGTGGTTTAGTGATGCAGGCAACCTGTTGAGCATCTGCATTCCTGCTTCTAAAATAAAACCTATGCAACATTGTTGGAGGATCAGGTAAAGTATATAAATAAACTTCCATTTTTATTAAAAACTCTTTTAAAATAATAGAGTTTCCTGTCACTTGTGATTTTTGAGGCTTGCTAAAGTCATAGTATTTCATTTACTTTCAGTACTTGTAGGACTTCTGAGTGTACTTTCTCAGATACAGGAATGAAACAGACTCAGTGAGCAGTATAGTGTAAGCTGCTTTAATATTTTAATAACAGTATCTTTTTAATATGCTCAGCATTTAGATGTGTAAACAAATGTTTATATTCTAAGTAAATTCCTAATTAATTTGATTTCATGCTTGAAGAAGCATGTCAGCAGATCAGGTTGTATTTATCCCTAATTAATTTAAGATGTTCTTCGTTTAATGTGCAGACATATTTGAAGTTTTGCAAGTCAGTTTGCTGTTTGAAACTGAAATCAGCAAGTCGGGAGTACTTTCTTTGATATGAAGTGTAGTCAGCTGCTTCTTTCCTGGGCAGAGGTCTTAATTCTTTTCCATCACTCCCAGGAAAGTTGTGTTGGGCTTTGCTCTTCCTGCCACTAAAAGCCACTGTACTGTTGCTTCTGCAGACATAACTGCTTGAAGGAACTTCATCCTTTCCTTAAAGCTCTTTGCCCTGTGGCACTTTGCACTGCAGGACCTTTTCTGCGTTCTTGGATGATGTAGTTTCAAAATTATGCCTGGCTCTTTAACCTGCATTTTGAGCAGCTGCTCTCAAGCGGCAGAGGAAGCCCAGAAGTATCCGGTGACTTGTGCAATGGCCTGTGCTGAGCCTGTGTAATGTACACAGTTTGCAACAGGGGAAATTCCAGTGAAATACTAAGGGGAGATCAAATGCTGGGGCAGGGTCCAGTGAAGTTTTGGAGCCTTCATTCTTGGGAATACTTGGAATAGGACTGGCCAAGGCCTTGAGCATTCTGTGACTTTGAGGGTGGCCCTGTTCTGAGTAGGGATTTAATCTCTGGCTGTATATACAAGTATGTGATTGCTTGACTCAAGCTGTCATTCCACTGGACTTGTGTTTTGTTAGATGACCCAGTCATACACATCTGATGTGGACCAGGGGTGACTTTTTCCCTCTGTTTATGACGTAGGATATAATAATGATTTTTTTTTTCCAGGCTCTTAACACTGGGTGTATTGTGCATGAAACGAAAGAAGTAATAATTTTCCAGCCTGAAGCTTAATGTTACAAAGTTAACCAGTCAAAATTTTTTTAACAAATTGGAGCTGCCAAAGGTCTTATTCAGTTGATATGATTAGAAATAAATTTGCAACAGATGACAAATCTTTGGCCTCCGAGAAGAAAATGCTTAAATCATTCACAATTCTCCTAATGACCCTTTGAGGAGGGTTATTACATGTCATCTCCCTTTTTTTTATGGAGAATATTATCCCAGAGATTTATGCATTGCTGGCCCCTGCTATGCAACCCATTAGCTCTTTCTGCCATGCTAGTAATAAATATCTAGTAACACTTACAGTAAATGAAAAGCTATTGCTAAAAAGAGACATAATGATGACAGCACTATCCTAATCTGAGTTATCATTATTTGGTGGCTTTCATCAGCACATGTTCATCTTTAACATGGCAGTTTTGCAATGACTACATGTAGTCTGAGCTCTGTTGATATTTAGTGGTGCTTGCAGCCTGTAACTCCAAGTGCCTTTCAGGACTGCAGATTTGATCCTTTTGGAGTATACAGCATATAAATGAGACTGAAGGAAAGCCTTGCGTGGCTCCTTGTCATGGGGCTGTGTGCTTGTCATCACATGCAAAGGCAAGTGCAATGAACTGCTCGTCCCCAAAAGGAAATGAGATATAGGCAAGAATCAAAAATATTAATCAGAAGACCTGAATCAGCCCAATAGACTTAGCTAATAGACTCAGACAGCCACTGAGTTCCTTTTTACACTGAACTATTGCCAGAACAATAATACATGTTTTTGTGTGTGCTATAGCTTCATTATTTCTGTATACACTTTTTTGTGTAGCAGCATGTTAAATGGAGAGCAGTATTTCTAACTTTTTTTATTATATCTCATTCAGTCTCATTTCCAGTCAGACCTGCAAAATAAAGTTGCATGCATTAATGCCCCTGCCAGAAAGATCTTCTACAGTTCCCATAAAGCAGATGTTATTTTGAGATGAATGGTCAGAAAGGTTAATTTAGTTTCTATGACTCTGCTTCTGTGAACTTTAAATCATGGCACATTTTTGTAACTGCGGTAAAGTTTGAGGAAGTTGAGTCAGCTTTAAGAAATCCTTGCCTCATCGTGTGAGCCATAGTAACTGATGGGGTGCATGTGGTTGCTGCAGTGCTGAGTAAAGTGGATCTACTCCCCCAAGCCTTCCCAAGCTCAAGTAAGCCCACCAGCAGCACATGCCAACAATACCTGTACCTTGTATCCTTGAACAAACTGCAGTGATAGGACAAGCAGTTACTGGTTCAGACTGAAAGAGGGGAAATTGAGGTTAGATATAAGGAAAAAATTCTTTACTGTGAAGGGTGGTGAAGCACCAGAACAGGTTGCCCAGAGAAGTAGGGGATGCTTCTCTGACAGTGTTCAAGGTGGGGGCTCTGAGCAACCATGGCAGGGGGATTGGAATTAGATGATCTTTAAGGTCCTTTCCAACCCAAACCATTCTGTGTAGAACTCTCTTTAGGGAGATGTAGTAATCAGGGATAATGGTGTTAAAATCACTTGAAAAAAGCATATATGCACTGCATCATGCTCACCTTGCACTAGCAAGCCACTCTGCTGTGATTGTAATAAATGTCCTGATTGTTCTTTCATTTGTCTGTAGTCAGTGGAGGCTGCTGAGATGACTCAATTGTCTGTAGAAGACCTGCTTTTTGTTCCCCTTAGATGAACTAGCTGCTCTATTTGAAAAGCATTAAGTAGTAAGTTCCTATAAGCCAACACCCTGTTCTGAGCAATATTTAGGATAGAAGCAAATAATTGTTGAAGTAATGGAACTGAGAAAACCCTTTTTTTTAAATGATTTGGTACCCTGAGCTTAGATTCTCTGATGTTTAATAAAGCATGAACTTGGATTAAGGTTTTTCCTGAAGTGAAGGAATCCTAAATGCTGCTTTTCAGTGTGGGATTCTCTGATGTCTCCTCCTGGAACTGGACAGCATGTATTAAGGAATGATGTTAATGAGCAGTGAGGACATGGGTAAGGTCTGACTGTCATCTATTTTCATCAAATTTACAGAAGTATGAAGTCTTTGAGTTATCTGACATTGTGTGTCCTTTCTGTCAAAGGATAGCTTCTGTCAGATTTGGTTGATGTAGTGTGATGTGTGACAACAAGCTATGACTAGACAGAAATCCACACAGGTATTGTGTCTATACTGTATGGATGGGTGAGCTTTCTTTCCTTAGAAATATGCACTACTGAGAAAAAAACAATTGGACTTTAGGTGATAGTATAACAGCAGGTTTTATGTGGTTCATTTGGTAGCTAAAAAGCTATTTCAGGTGTATCTTTCAGGTACCTGAAAGCTCCTTGTGTTCCAAAGGCAGAATATTTAAGTAACTAATATAATACTAGAGCCATGGTTGATTTTGCATCACTTCTATGAAACCAAGTGCTGTAAAAGTGAGACCTGAAATTCCAGCAGCTGTAAGCAGCAGCAGTGAACTGTAAAGGTCCTTTCCAGCCTTGGTCTCCTAGGAGAAAGCTGGTATATGAAATGGAAAACAGTCATTTATATGTTCACCTGTTATAATTTTTTTTGCTTGATCTGTTGAACAGTTCATACATCTGAATATACTGAGAGATACAAATTATAAATTAGGAAGTGCTTTATGAAAGAGTTAGTTAAAATATATATATATGTGTGTATTTGGAGAGGATATCCGTGTTGAACATCAGTGTGTGAAGGAAAAACGGTAAGATTATGTTTAAATTTCTAAGAAAAAAAAAATCCTGAGTTTCACAGATCAGAGATGACATATAATTAAATAAGCTGTTCATCTAAAAAGTGAAATTTTGGAAATGGATGCCTGCAGGTTCCAAAATTAGACTGATGTTCCAGAGAGGCAGGAAGGTGGCATCTGATTGTGTCTGGTATTAGTAATACATGCAAGACTCTGTAGGAAACAGAATTTTATATTGCAAAGATATTGCTGAGATACAATTAGTGAAAATAGATAAGTATTTCTTAAAGGAGTTTTACCTTACCATAATATAGCTGTGATGAATTTTTCACTGGTTATGATTGCTATTAGGAAAGATTGTGAGCCATCTCAAACATTTGGGAGCAAACATTTGCTAGTTACACATACTGCAAAAACATCTGACCCTTGGGTGCAGTAAGCTCAGGATATGAGTATGTTTGTGCTCTGTGTTTGTAATGTGAATTCATTTATTAGAGCACAGGCAGATGGTGAGCCTGCACTGTGGGGAGGCACACAGAGCCATTGCTTGCAAAGATAGAAGCTATTAGCCAGGTAAGATGTTCCATTAGGGAACCTTTTTCATTCCCACTTCCTAGGCTGATGTGCACTGTTCATTGTGTTTGCAGCAGGGTGCTGTGAAATCAGGGAAGACAAGGGCACAAGAAAAAGACTACGTGATTCTTCCAAATTAACAGTGATTTTGTGTATTTCTACTTAAATGAATCTGTTTGTGACCATTTACCCTCTTTCCCTGCAAATTTTAGGTTTCATCCTTGAAAAATTAGATTGCTTTTGAAAGTCTTTGCCAAAGACATAGGCTTAACTTACATGCTTGAAAAATATATGATGTGAAATATTTAGAAAGGCAGCTGTGTGACTGAAAATACAAATCCAGCTCTGTTTTCCTCTTTGACTTGAAAGAAGCTTTATACTTCATTGTCACTTTGGTGCTTTTTCACAGTTACAACTTTGAGGTGTTGTGCTGTCTTAAGTTAGATGGCATCAATCAGCTGCAGCTCTGGTTTCTCATGCCTGTAGCATCCAGAGAAGTTAGAATGGAAATAAATGAGGGTAGCTACAGGGAAAAGTCAGAAAGTAGGCAAATGACAGGTAGACAAGCCTGCTTATTGTCTAGGCTCCACTCGGTATTTTTCCACAGCCCATTTCTCTGGACCCTTGGATTGCTGTTGTAAACTTGGTACAGCAGAGAAGCTGCTGTTCAAAGGGATAATGATATCTTCATACATATGGGATTGTAGTGTGTCTGAAACTTATGGATATTCATGTGCTTATTTTGGATTTTTTTCCCCCAACTTTGTCTTCAAAGTTCTGTTTGAAATAGGACACCTAATTGGAATTTTTTATCATCTAATAAAAGCCTTTTTCATTAAAATGTAACAGACCTGTTGCTATTTTGCTAAAACCAGAGTGTTCAAAAGCAGGATGGAAGAAGATAAGGAGAGAGGAAAGGAGGCTTGTTTTCATTACAAAACTAAGAAATGTTCTGTTCTATTTGTTTTATTTGCAAACCACATATCACAGGAACATGAAAATAGCTTGAAGACGCCTCAAACCCATTGCCACCATTTTTTCAGCATTACCTTCAGAAAGATAGTTCTGATATTCTGTATCAGTTCATAAACTTGGCTGTGACCATGTGGGTGAAGTCTCTAATCACAGATCTCACATTTAGAATTTGAGGGTGCTTGGTTGAATCCTTTAGGACCTGGCCTCAGGGAACACCACATTTGTGACCTCTTGACCAGATGAATCTGAGTCACTTACTGAAAGCTGAACGTGCAGATGTTTGGACTTGCCACCTAATACAGCAGCATGCCCTCTTGGTTCCATCCAGTGTATGCCACTAAAGACTTTTGCTGGCTTTGGATCAGCTTCCAGTAACAGTTTCAGGTTGTGGTTTTGTTTTTGAAAGCAGCTAATAAATTAAGGATCAGTTATTGGCGTATTCTTGACCTGTACTTGGCTGGGAAACAACGGCCAAGAAAAAGCCTGTTAGAAATAAATCTCAGAAGAGACAAGAACCCACCTCAAAGTAAACTGAAACAATCAAGATAATACAGAGCCAAGAATGTATTTTAGAAGTAGTGAAAAGTCTTCCTCTTACACATTTTCCTCTATACAAAATACTAACCTGCTCTTAGGCTTAAGGATTCCTTTCCAAGCTACTTTCCAAGTTCCAAAACCCATAAACCTTAAAGGAAAAGACCACAGACTCTACAGCATTAACCACATGCACCTTCTAAATCAGAGCAGTGGTGTTCTCAAAAGCCCACTCAAGAGGGGGTAAGCTTAAAAACTGAGAGCTTTAACCTCAATTCCATAATGCACAGTTTGTACTTCATTTTCACAGACTCCTTTATGGGAGATCTTTGCCTGATTCAATCACCAACAGTAGATCAGTGAGATAAAATGATTTTGCAGTTAGAACAGATCTTAAGATATATTAGTACTTCTGAAAAAAAAGGTTACCTGTGAATGACTGATGAAGGAGCAAGACTGTTTTAGTAATGCTAGCAGCAATATAGTTTGTTCATGTGTCAGACCAGCCTATTGTTTGGCAGGAAATTCAGTGTCAGGCAGCATTACTTTGTACGGTAAAAAAACAATTCCAAAAATTAATATGATTGTCTTTAATTTTTTTTAAAAAAGCATCTTTCAAAAATTTCAAGAGAGGAGCTTGAATGGGCCTGCAACATTCAAGCATGCAACATCCTAGCATGCAACTAAAGCTGTAGCTGCAACAGTGGCATTATTCATATTTAAATACCAAACAAAGCTGAAGATGTGCAATGCCAGACTTTGCTCCTGTGACACTCAAATGGTTTTGCAGCATAGGTAGCAGTAGTGTAACTCTCTGTTACAGTGATGATATGGTTTCTGTTTCATGTAGCCTTGTAGAGAGTTGTGAATGTGTTACTGCTGATTACATTCATAAATATGAGTAAAGTATGAGGCATAAATATAAGCAAAGTATGAGAAATTTTCTTTTGTGGCTTGATTTGACAATACCTGGAGCCTTTCATATCACATATCCTTACTTTAGCTAATTTTATATAGGTATTGATCCTTATGGTGCGTGTCTTAAATATTACAGGATGCGGAAAGAAATATAAATTACTGGAATTGCAGATTGTACAGTACGACAGGAGAGTCTCAGAAACCAGGGTGAATGGATCCTGAATGACAAGTTTAGCACATGCCATCTTCCAACAAGGAATCTATTGAACAAACCCCTTTAAAAATGTTCACTACATGCTTGTTGTGGTGATGTCTGGGAACCCTTGAATGGGACAGTGTTTTCCTAGGTGCTGTGGATTCAGAGAGTAAGAGACAATCCCTGTCCTAAAACTGTAATCATTCAATTATGCAAGATGGGTAAGAAGAGGAAGAAAGGACATCCCCCTTGTGGTAAGACACAGAGATTGATATTTTCCCTACTTCAAATTTAAGTTAGTGTGAAAATGGGACTGAAGAAATTATCTCCTATATATTGGTTCAGTATCTAACTAGCAAGCCATCTTGATACAGAGCAGATCCTTTATTAATCAGAGATACTGGCTCTGATGACAGAAAATCTGATTCCTGAATGACTTCTGACTGCAATTTGAGTGATGAGTACCATTCCCAGCCCTGCTGTTGGTGTTCTGGGTGACTTCAAGCCTATTTACTCTCAATTTCTACCTTGTAGGGAAAAGGGAAAGATCTTGGAGTGAAAAACTGAAGGACCATGAAATTGTTTAAGTTGAAAAAATCTCTTAAGATCATTCATTCCAAGCATTAACCCAGCACTGCCAAGTCCACCACTAAACCACATCCTTAAGTGCCATTTCTACAAGTCTCCAAAATGCACTAGGCATGGTGAATTCACTGCTTTCCTGAGCAGCCTGCTCTAGTGCTTGACAACCCTTTTGGTGAAAACATTTTTCCCTCATATCCAAACATCCCCTGGTGCAGCTTGAGGCCAATTCCTCCTGTACTATCACTTTTTACTTGGGAGAAGGGACTGATCCCCACCTGCTTACACCCTCCTTTCAGGAAGTGGTGGAGAGTAATAAGGTGTCCCCTGAACATCCTTTTCTCCAGGCTAAATACACCCTAGCTCCCCCAGCTTCTCCTCATAAAACTTGTGCTCCAGACTCTTCACCAGCTTTGCTGCCCTTCCTTGGACACGCTCCAGCACCTCAGTGTCTTTCTTGGTGGCCCAAAACTGAGCACAGGTTTTAAGATGTGTCCTCACCAGTGCCAAGTACAGGGGGATGATCTCTTGCCTAGTCCTGTTGGCTCCTCAAGTGTAGCGGGTTGCGGACAATTTGCCCATGGATTATGGGATCTTCATTCTGCTCCCTGTCCCTGTCTTCCATTTCAGTGTGTATCTGGAGACCAACTTAATGTTAAAGACTGAAGCAAAGGCAGCATTAAGTATGTCAGCATTTTCCTTATCCTTTGTCACTATGTTTCCTCCTGCATCCAGTAAAGAATGGAGATTCTCTTTAGCTCTCCTTTTGTTGCTAAAGTGTTTATAGGAACACTTTGACTGTCTTTTACAATAGTGTCCAGAATAAGTTCTCCTTGGGCTTTGACCCTTCTGATTTTCTCCCTGTATAACTTCAAGATATCCTTGTAGTCTGCCTGAGAAGCTTGCCCCTTCTTCCAAAGCTCATAAATTCATAAAATCTCCTCTTTTTTCCCCTTGAGATCCAGCCAAAGCTCTCTGTTCAGCCAGGCTTCTCTTCTTTCACTCCAGCTTTTCTTTAGGCATGTGGGGACAGCCTGCACCTGCAACTTTATGATTTCCTTCTTGAAACATGTCCAGCCTTCCTGGACTCCTTTGCCCTTCAGGACTGTTTCCCAAGGGACTCTATCAACAGTCTCCTAAACATGCCACAGTCTGCCCTCTGGAAATCCAAGTTAGTCATTCTGCTGATTCCCATCCTTCTCTGAGAATAGAAAACTCTATCATTTTTTTTGTGATCCCCGTACCTAAGATGGACTCCAGCCATCATATCACCCATCCCTACTTCTCTGTTCACAAACAAGAGGTCCAGTGCCTTCCCTAGGCGGCTCCCTCACCAGCAATGTCAGGAATTTACCTTCCACACACTCCATGAGCCTCCTACACTGCTTCCTATCTGCTGTGTTGTCTTTCCAGCAGACACCTGACAAGGACAAAACTGAAAGTACTTTCCCAAATTAGAAATGGGCACGCTAAAAGGGTCCTTCTGTCAAAGCTGAGGGGAAAATTCATCTGACTTCCTTGAGATCTGCTTGCACTTCTAGGATGGCAAAGGGGCTTGTACTTTAGGATGGGAGATCTAATGCAGCCCCTCCTTGCTGATCCTTGATGTTGGGAAAACCGGAACCACTGACATAGACAAACCTGATCCAAAAACCCTAATGAAGTAGGTACTCAAAATCATAGGATGGAGTGGGGCTGTAGGAGAGGTGGGTGAGGAGGAGAAAAATGTATTCAAGTAACACAAAAAAATTTTAGTTTTAGTGGCATAGTTTCAATTACAATTGTATGGTGCCAGGCACAGATCTTGTATTAGTATGTTACAAAAAGTGTCAGTGCTGCTCTTCCTCTTATTTCTCCTGTCTTTCCAATCTGTTTCTGGTCAGGACACTGCAAATCCCACTCTTGTGGAGTCCATAGGGAAGGTGGACCCGTGTTTGTGTTGTTTGAAATGCAGTGAAAAAGGAATAGCTTCTTTTACCATCAGCTGTACTGTAAAATATTTCTCTTCTTTCTAGACTGTCTCCATTTTGTCAAGCTCTTGTCTGGCCTGGTTGGAGTTGTAGTCTCATGTTTTATCCCTAAATATGGGATAAACTTCTTATCATGAAGTTACTTACTCATGCAAAAGTTGGGTTTTATTTTTTTACTCCACTGCATAAGTAATTTGGTAAAAATGGTGCAGGAAGGGTGTTTGGGATTTTGTTCACAAGGTGGCACTAGCCACTAACCAGTGCTACCTTCCTTTAAGTCCCAGCACTGAATTGTCTCAATCTTTAACAGCGTGGTAGGAAGAGCTGGAAATGATTAACTGCAGACCAGACAACTAAGGGTGTTTTCTTACATTCAGTCAAGTCCTCTTTTTTGTCTACTTAAATAGCACTTGGATATCAAAGAAATGGAATCCTTTTAAATTTTTTTTTTAAAGAAAAAATATTTGCATCTCAGAGATACTTGTTATTTAGAGGGAATGTTCTTAGCATAATGTGAGGGAGGGTACAGTGAAATACTAGTATTGTTAATGGCAGCTTGGATTCTAATTGTCTCTACCCATGAGGCAATAATTTGTTGCATTGACAGCTTGCTGTTTGTTTCTGTTTCATTTGTGTCCCACTATATCGATACCTTAAGAACTGCAG